CGCATTGTCCAACCCCATTCCTGGGGTACCAAATCATGTCCTAAAATAATATTTAATCTGCGCTCGCGCTGCCCTCTATCTCAAAAACGATTCAACGTATGAAAAAATATTTGAAAAAAAAGTTGTAGAGAATTCAATTCTCTACAATATTGATAATAAATACAATTAGCATAAAACCCATCGGAAACGAGATATTGGCAAAAAACGTGCAAAAAGTCTTTTTGAACTTGCGGCCGTCGAATCATATGTGAATTTCGAGAATACTTTTATGGCGTGGTGTGATAATACACAAATGCTTTGAGCTAATAGTTTAGACAACAATAATTAAAATAATTGTTAAATTCTCCCTCAGTATTTATTATTGTCTAGAAAGTTAGCAAGCTATTGTCATTATTCGTTTCGTGTTTCATGACTGCACGTCTTTCAGAAATGAACGATAGTTACCTAATATTATTTTGAAACATTTTTCACCCGTACATTTACAGAGTCAACACAGGTCTATTTCTTGCAGACAACCTCCAATGAAATAGAAGCTTGCATACGCGAAGTGAAATTGGGATCAAATACTCTCTGTTCTTTTGTTAGAAAAAGTTGGAAAAAATGTACAAAAATAGGTATTGATGCAGTTTCTGGCTGCTTACCTGCAGAAGCTAAAAATATTCCAAGATTATTGGTGAACATAATTTGGGCAGTTGTGGACCAAGCTTGCCGTTCTACTTTTGAAGAAACTTTGGGTGAGTCGATATGATTTTCAAGTTTTGAAAGAAAATATAAGCAAGTTTTAATATTCAAGAAAATATAACAAGACAGATTAACGTTTTACTGTAGCCCTTATCCGGAAATGAATAAATGAATTTTTACGTAAGTATTACCAATTAGTAAAACTATCTAAGAATTTCGTAATATATTCAGGAAACAAAATTCGTTTTCATATATCTGAAAATTGGAAAAAACGGTTTGGTGAAAGAAACATCGTAGCAAGAGGACTATATGCAGTTAACAAAATCTGCAACAAATTTTGTTACAATTGACGGAGTTTCAAATAGTGGAATAAACATACAGAAAATTATGGAACGCCGTTTTACTTTTTATTGTCACAAATATTCATTCCTCAATTTATTCAACTAACAATTTATTTGTTTGAATTTAATTGACTCATGCATTTGTTCGACACATTAAAAACGATTGTTCCCAAAATTTGTTCTATTTTAAATGACACTTGATTTAAAATGTTACATGAATAAAATTGTTATTTGAATAAAATAGAGTAATGAAATAACTTGAAGCTTTTATTGATTCCGAAGAAAAATATTGTTTCAGAGTTTTGGAAAATGGAACGCCAATTTATTATATATTATGCTGAAAAATAATCTATATACATATAGTTCAACTCAGCAATAAACCAACATTTTAATTCAATAATCAATGGAATGTATTATTCGAGTAAATTCAACAAACGTTTCAATTCCGCATATAATTTTGACCTTTCAATAAAATGTTAGTTATTTATATGACTGTTGAATTACAATGAAACTTTAAATTCACTTTCTAAAAGTAAGTTTGGGAATAAAATTTCAATGAATATATTTGAATGACTGTCAAAGTTTTTCCATGAAACATTGTTGGTAATAAAAATAGACTTTCGTTTGTCTGAAAATATAGCAAATTAACTTTCCATACTAAATATTTTTCTATGAA